ATGATTTTTCTCTGCATCCTGAACTTGCTCTGTGCTGTTGCAAGTCTCATTCAGGGAGCCTATACATGAAGGTCAGTCAATCCAGTCAAACATCTCATGGACTGGCTGTTTCTCATAAACAGTTGGCACACTAGCCGGTTCACTGAACAAGTCGCGGTGGTCTTTCAGAAACGTCATGTAGTCCAAGGCATACTGCTCTTCTTCGGAGAGACGCTCACGTCTGCCCAGCTTCACCTTGATGAAGTCTACCACCGTCAGCACCGTTTGCTTCAGACATCCGAGGACGAAACGAAACATCGGAATGGGTTGATAACTAACAGTGTTCCAGAAATGGCTTGAAGTCAGAAAAAGGCAACGGTGAGAACACTTGCCATCCTATGTCAAAGCAGAAAGTCAAGCGTCATTCAAACTGACGCGAACAGCTTTTGACTGCTCTCAGATGGGTCTGTGCCTGTGCATCGTTCAAAACCGACACTGTCAATCTAGAGGGCTTACATCTCCAACACGGCTGTGGCATTTAGTTTAAACAAACACATGAGAGAAATCCAGCCCTGTTGCTCAGTGTCTTGTCTCGTGTCTCTTGGTGAGAAGAGCCTACTGCGTCTCATCATTCACTCCATCGACGTTGTCCTTCTTGGACTTCTTGCTCTTCTTGCTCTTCTTTGTCTTGGGCTTTGGTGCAGGTGCCGCCGATGATGAAGCCGAAGTGGTTGCCCCCGTTGAGGAAGTCGAAGCGGTTGCCCCCGTTGTGGAAGCTGAAGCGGTTGAACCAGACTTCTCGACCACGGTGATGACGAGCGGAGCATTCTCTGTAGCCCCCCATGCCAGCAGTTCCGTCCTCGTTGCTCCCAATGTTGCCGTCATACTGGAAGAAGCGCCCTCCACTGTGAAAGTCAGCTTCTTGAAGGTCTTCTCGGAAGGGAACTCCTTGGGGAAGTTGAAGCGGAGAGCCTCCCTGATGCTCTTGTATGTTGCACGCCCTTTGAGTGAGAGTTCAAAGCGACGCCCATTGAACATGATGGTCACCGTGTACATGCTTTTGCCTTTCTTTGCCTGTTTAGTCTCACCGCCCTGCTCCTTCTTGACCTTAGCATCCCTGGCCTTCATGATTAAGGTCTTGAGGCGCTCCTTCATCGCCTTCGTCGCCTTCAACTTCATAATCTCATTGTTGATATCCCTTGCCATGTCGTTGATGATGTTCTGGAGCTGTTCGAGGTTGCTGATGTTCTCAATCTTTGCCTTGAACTCGTCACTGATAGGGTAGCGCTTCAAAATCTTTGACCACTCTGTGTCAGACAAGACAACGGTGATGGCATCATCTTGAAACTCACCCTCCTCCTCGGCTTCCCTTGACTCCTCATCTTCTGAAGTCTGCTCTGGCACCCCCTCCACAACTTCTGCTTCCTGAAGTTGCTCAGCAAGCACACGGTCCACCTCCTCGCTGTTGTAGCCACCAGCCGACATGATGCTAGTGAGAAATGAGAGAGCAGGTGTCAGTCAGGAAAGACTAAGACTCTGAAAAGGAAATGGCGTCAAGTCAAACTGAAATCAACAGATGGTCGCTCATGGAAGAGCACTTGACTGACTGTCTGACTGATAACTGGGGCGCCAGACAATTAGAAACGATGAAGATGTCATAGAGGTCAAAGCCGTGGTACGACCGAAGCGACGGAGCGATGACCAAACCCGAAAAGATAGCCAGCACCCCAGAACTTGATAACTACTAAAAGGGTCAACTCTTTCAAATGAAAAAAATGTCGGCCCCCAGCCCAACAATGAACAAGGCGACAATTTACCCAATTGATTACCTTAACGAAAACGATAAATAAGCTCCCCGAAAACACCCTTTTAAAAACGAATAAGGGGGAACACAGATTTGAGATGAACATAAAAACCAGAACAGGCAACCATCAACAGGCCACCCCCCGGGCCCCCCCTTTTCTCCATTTTTTTTTGGGGGGGGGGGGGGGTTAAATGCTGCGGCGCAGCATGCCAGCCCAAGCAGAGGCCTGACCCCTTGATGACACAGGTGACCTTGAAAATGAGAACGACAGAAGACCTATTGCCAATAAACACCAGTGGCTAGAGTGGTGCCAGGGCTTACTGCAGCTGGTATCCTTTTGCGCTGCTGCAGGCGGGTGGGAGAGGGGGGCCTGGGATAGGCTTGGAATTGTTTGTTCGGCATGGGGCCAAAGCTAGTCAGCAAATGGCACACTCATAATCGAGAGCTTGCCCATGCTCAGCACTCAACTTGCTAGCGCCCCCGATGCAAAACAAGATGAAACACGGAGTTGCTGATGTGTTTGAGCCATGATTGCAATAGCCCACCATTGCCGTACGTTTTCAAGCCTTGCCTTGGATCCCTGCGTTCTTGAGGATTTGTCCTCTCAGTCATGCTTTTGTGCCGGGAAGCATGACACATCAAGACATGGTGGTCAATCGTTTGGATACAGATTTGCCTGATAGGCCCTATAGGGATTAAAACTTTGGCAAAGTTCTGAGCATGTTCACTGCAAAAGATGTAGACTTCGTGAATCGCATTCTAGTTTGCTTGCCCCTCGCAGGAGTTGATTGCCGCACAAGTGTAAAAGCTTGTGAGCACAGAACAGCGCATGTGCCCAAACCCGCCTGCCTTTTTGGCAGACACAAAACATATGCAGAGAAATGTCGAGGCCATTGCTTTGCCAACATGTTTTACAAAACCAGAGGCCAGCTGGCGGTGGGAAGAGAGTGAGCGCCAAGTCAACAACGGAAAGGCCGTGTCGCAGCTAGACCCCGAAAAAGCATGGCGATGATCACGAAATGAAACTAGAGGACGATTGGCCCGAAAGCATTTTTCCCCAGGTGCTCATCCAGCCGCGGAGACACCTTTTTACATCGCTGCGGCGAGCGTGTCTGCACGCGGCGATGCTCAATGTGTATGGTCACATGAGAGCTCCTCTCATCGTCCTACGAGAGGAAACATGGCAGTGCTCGATCCCACATATTTACATCCGTTAAAACAAGAAGAGTAAAGCTCGTAAAGCTCGAGACGAATTACAAGCAAAAGGACAAGCAATCAATAGCAAAGCTTACACGACGGCCACAGTTTCTGCAAAGCACGCTCGCGCAACTTAGCTCTGCGCAAGACGGCTCTGCGCAGCTTGGCTCTGTGAAAGTTGGGTCTACGCAAGCTACTTTTCGCGAGTGGCTCTGCGCAACTGGCTCTGTGCAAGTTGGCTCTGCACGAGTCTGCTCGGCGCAATGTGCTTTGCACGAACTGCGCCGCGCGATTTCTCACGAAAGTGGTCTGCGCAAGCTGCATTGTTCCAGACTGCTGCGCGCAAGTTGCTCTCTGCAAGCTGCTGCACGCAAGTGCTCTGTGCAAGTTGCTCTGCGCAAGTGCTCTGAGCAAGTTGCTCTGCGCAAGTGCTCTGCGCCAGTTGCTCCGTGCAAGCGCTTTGCGCATGGGCTCTGTGCAAGTTGGTCTGTGCAAGTTGCTCTGCGCAAGTGCTTTGTGCAAGTGCTCTGCGCAAGTTGCTCTGCGCAAGTTGCTGTGCGCAAGTGACTCTGCGCAAGTTGCTCTGCGCAAGTGCTGCCGGAGCTGTGGGAATGTACTTCGCGTACTATTTTTGTACTTAATTGTTGCGATTTTCCAGCCGGAGCTGCGGGAGTGTGCTCCGCGTACTACGTTTGTACTTAAAAGTTGCGATTTTCCAGCCGGAGCTGCGGGAGCACGCTCCGCATACTACGTCTGTACTTAAAAGTTGCGATTTTCCAGCCGGAGCTGCAGGAGCACGCTCCGCGTACTACGTTTGTACTTGAAAGCTGCGATTTTCAAGCCGGAGCTGCCGCAGACCAGGGGGGAATCGAACCCGCGACCGCGGGATTGCGAAAGCAGGCGCGCAAACCACGAGACAACTTCCAAAGGCCATTTCGCGAGCAACAAAATCGCACGGCGCCACAGCGAGAGCGCTTCGACACGCAGGATCTGCGCAGATGGTTCGCCGAGACTAAGAAGAGTTCGCACGGCGCCACAGCGAGAGCGCTTCGACACGCATCCCCGCAGAGGGTTCATCCGGGAATGTCAAAAACGCAAAAATCCTCGAGTTTTTGCGCCTCGACCACGCCGATCTGCGCAGAGGGTCGCGCGGGAATATCAAAAAACGCAAAAAAAAAACTCGAGTTTTTGCACCTCGACCACGCCGATCTCCGCAGAGGGTCGCGCGGGCACCGACAAAAACGCAAAAAAAACTCGAGTTTTTGCACCTCGACCACGCCGATCCCCGGAGGGTCGCGCGGGCACCGACAAAAACGCAAAAAACCTTGAGTTTTTGCACCTCGACCACGCCGATCTCCGCAGAGGGTCGCATTCCCGATCGTCGGCAACATCCCCACCCCCCGCCTTAAATGAGATTCTTAATACCGAGCTCTTTCTCTTTCTTTCCCGCGCGTCAAGTACTTAACCTAACTTACTTAACCTAGCCTACACACAGCTGCTAACGCCGAGCCTCTACACCTAGCCTAGCTTAGCTCCTAGCTCTATGCACCTGGCTCGATGCACTTCGCTCTTTGCACTTGGCTCTGTGCAAGTAACTCCATGCTGGTGACTCCCTCTGTGCAAGTATCTCCATGCTGGTGACTCTGTGCAAGTATCTCCATGCTGGTATCTCCATGCTGGCGACTCTGTGCAAGTATCTCCATGCTGGTAACTCTGTGCAAGCTACTCTGTGCTAGTAACTCTGCGCGAGTATCTCCATGCTGGTGACTCTGTGCAAGCTACTCTGCGCAAGTTGACCAAGAGCTCCGCACGGAAGAACCCTTCGCCATGCTTTCGGGAAAAGAACAACCCAGGCATCAAGCTACTTCGCTTCCTCAGCAAAATCAAACCCAATCCAGGTACCTGTTGAGGATGTTGTGTTGTTTTCTCCACATTTATTGGTCGCAGATCACTCTTCCCTTTAGCGGGGCTTTTGGCCAGGTGTGCCTGCCAACGCTCCTCCTTTGCGGCGCTTACTTCTGGCCCTTCTGGGCGTTGCCGCTGCGGCTTTTGCTGCTGCTGTGGCTGTCTGGGCGTATGTGGGCTTCGGCTTTCTTGTTATCCTAGGTTCTGGAACCCCGCCCGCCCAAACTGAGTCGTTCAGTGGTCTGATCGGGCTTTGGTCGGCAAGAATCCTTCCCATCATCACTAATTACCATCAATCTTGTCGTGCCTCCCCCCCCCACGAATAAGTGCGCCAGATCGAGTCTTGTTTTCCCAAACAGCTTTGATTGACCCAACATGAAACCAACACAATTTCACCCAAGTATGCACACTCTGAATACATGCTGTTCCAGCCGGTGAGTTTCATCACCATCATGTAGCTATGGATCCACTTCTCGAGTGGCCTCAGGCTTCCCTACCTTTGGGCCGCGTTGGCCTACACTCCTTTGCTGCCCATGTCGGTCAAGCGCACGAGGGCCTTCTACGAGACCTGCGGCTCGCATGTTGGGCGCTTTGAGGGGCGCAGCGGGTATACCCCACAATGCAAATGAAATGAAGGTTCCGGTGTGTCCCGGTCTTGGGGATACCTTATTTCAATGTTGATCCTAAACTTCGACTTGGTGTTAAGTTGGTCACGTTGTAAAACCTGGTGCAGTAAGAGGTAAAGACGGTGCTAACGTTTAGCGTCGTGTTCTGTATGAATGCATGACGGTCCCACCTCAATGAGCAACACCCCCGAACAACAAAAGCACGCGGCACAGGCCTTTCAAAGTGTGTAGAAGCGTCGACCATTTGAGTGGTAGCCTTAGAGGGTTCAGGCACAGGCGTAGCAGAGCAAATTCCATCGGAGGAGATGGCTGCAAACAAAATTAGGATGGGTGATGCCGCGAAGGACAAGCTTGGAAATGCAGGCGTCATCGGCTCGGTGCTCATTCCTCGGACTAGCAGAAGGTGCGTTGAATGCTTCGTGACTCCGATGCGCAGCAGAAATACAGACGGATGACACTGATCTTGGCAAGGGTTCTTCAGGCTGCCCGATCAGGCCAAAGATCCAGTCTCCGGTTGAGTGAGAGGGCCCATCACCCCCGAGGCCTGCCTTTTGTCGCAGGCGAGCGACAGTCCCGAGTGTGACCTTGGCCAGTCCTAGGTCGTTCAGCAGTTATGTCTAAGCTGGGCTCCGCTTGGTGTTCCCATTTTTTTGAGCCCCCTCTGCGCGCACAAGTGGCTCCAATGATTTGTATACCCATTTGCTCACTAACGGTCGGGGCGGTGCGCCGCACCTTGAGTAGAGCTTCATGGAGAGCAGAGCGTTAGTGGAGGTAGAGTCCAACACATTCTGCAATGGCAACCTAAAAATGAAATGCCTTTGGGAGTGGATCGTAGGCTTATGTTGTTGGAATTCAGGGCTAGTGTCGTGTGCTCTAGGAGTGTGTCACTGGGACTTCTTGGGGACACGACACCCCCACTTTACCGACAACCGCCCCCTTCTGGGTTGCGTTGCTCTAGTTTGGGGTGCCGTTTGGGCGAACAGCCCATTGACCGGGTGTATGACGAAAGCCCTTGATGAAATCCCAGGGATGTCTCCGCCGGACTTCCTGCTTTTGCTGGCGGGGCTCTTGCCTTGCTCCTGGCTGGGTGCTGCGCAGGCGGCGGGCGCCGCCTTGGGCCGAGGGTTTTGGGGAACATGTTCTGTTTGGCTGGGGTTTGGAAAGGGTATCCTGCAAAAGGGAGTTCTCGACTATGACTTTGACAAAAGGCATGGCCGGGTTTCCAGGGAAAAGTTCTTGCCACGTCGCTTGCGGCGCTTTCCTGGCGCAAAATCCAGGAGGAACAGAGACGCGTCAGCTTTCAGGGATGTAAAACTGTGATGAGTGCGAAGCTGCGGGGAATGTAAAGATTCACCCTTCTGACCTCTAAAGAACACGTTTATTCCACATACATTCTGGAAAGCGCTCCCTTGGCCACAACCTGTGTTTAGCTGCGCCGTTCATGGACGTTTGGGATGTGCCTTCGCCAACATAGGCAAACGTGGCCAAACTCGAGTGATCTTGGGAGCAAAGGGGCACCTCCAAACCTTTCGCTCTGCCAAAGCATGTTACTCTTCCCAAGTGTTTGCCGGGAAATCGACGTTGTATGATAAAAAGTAGATGACATTGTGATAACAGATGTCGGTCTTGAAACACATGGTTCCCCCTCAAGCAGTGCGATGTTTGGGAGGAAACCCAATTCCGGATCAAATGATAGCTCTCTTTTTTTTTCCGGAGCTTGACATGCTGGGCCTTTAAAGAAAGTCCTCAGAGAACGGTCGGTGTTTTACAAAATCCACGTTTGCAGGTCCTGGCCTGCGCCCTGCTGGCTCACCACCGGCGAAACGAGGCGCGCCGGACGGGTTCTGAAACGGTCTTGACATCTTTTCACATCTTTTGACTGTTGACAAGCGCGACCCTACGACCCCGTTAGCGTGTCTGCAGGTGGGTCTGGCCTTTCTGGCAGTGCTGCCGGGCATGGCCTTGGGCAGTAGCTGCCTTCAGCTGGCGCTCTGCGCAGGACGCTTTCGGTCGACTTCACTTGTGTGCTTGAGGTTTGGGGTGGTGGAGTCACGCGAAGGGATGATGGCGTGCTTGACCACCTTGGACCCTTGAAGGCTATTCGGGTGGTTGCGCCCCGGAAAACTGCAACATGCGCTGTGCAGATCGGCTCCATTTGAAACGTGTGCAAAACGGGAGAGCAGTGTTTGAGCAAATCTCAGTCAACCGCTAGGGGGAGGCGGCAGTAGGCGGTGGGTCGGTCATCTCCAGTTTTGTAGATGGCAATGTCCTGCATGCTGACCTACTTTTGCAGTACTGGTCGTACTGGAAGCCCTGAGCGCGCAGTAGAAGAGCATTTTGTAGAAGGCAAAAAAGTGTGCGGTCCTTGGAAAAAAAGGCGGTTTGTTTTTCAATCTGTCCGGAAGAAGGCGAGCCATTGCTACGTTTTCTTTGCGCTCTTGTGCGGATAGTTGCGCTCGTTGTGCACTTTGATTTCTGCTCACTGCTCGCTCGTTTCAGCGACCGATCATTTTGGAGCACCATTCAGCCCAGTTTTGGGTAACACCGGAAGCAGGAAAAAGTGTACGTTTACCATATGTTGGTGACGGCCCTTGGTTTGCACTCCGTTTGGGCTCAGGACAGAAATTCAGGTAACGAAGGACGCTCCAGGATGAAGTAATGTGTTGGGGCACTTTGATGATTTTCTGCAGATGCTGGCGAGGAAGCGCAAGGATTGTTGTTCAGCGACGGACAACAATGCGATAACAAGCTAGCTGTGGTAACTGAAGAGGAGTAAAATCGAGAGAGGCTTCTTTGTCGCGGGCCTCACACTAGGATGCGCTTTGGCGACATGCGCACGGCGAACAAGATCACGAGCCATGATCACCCATTTGGCTAATTTAGCTGCTCTCAAGCGACCTGACCAGATCGCCACGCTGCTGGCCCTTCCCAAAGACAGAGGTCAAGGGCTCCAGGCAATGAATGCCAAGCACAGTTTCAAGCAAGTATATATGTAGTTGATACCGATGCCGACTGCATGGATGGTGACTCCATCGCTGCTGTGACTCCATCGCTGAAAGCCACGGAATCCTACAAATCATGAGTCGCAACACATTGTTCAGAAGCGATGTTGCTGGAGCTAACACTGTCTTTCACAGCTGGTACAGGAGTGGAGGGCTCCCTGCAACGGCTTGCGGAATTGCACCCTGAAAGCTGTTGCAGTTCTTGTGGAGTATGGAGAGCGGTGCCAGTGGCCATTCCTGTAACCACATTTGCTCGTGCTTATTTCCAAGCAGGATGCATTCTTGTGGATGTCCTGCGGTACCACGGCGATCGCTACGTGCTGCTTGGTTTGCCATTCTGCTTTTTCCTGGTGCTGCCAAAGTGGCTCTCTGATGATGCTTGGCTGCAGCGCTGCACACTGCGCGTCAACTCTTTTACTTTGAGAGAAAGCCTAGCTGCTTTAGGTTCCAAGAACTAGCCAACACATCTCAAGGACAATCGTTCTCCGCGATATCTTATCACCAGCCCTATGGCCCTATGGTTTGAATACGTTTGCGCGAAATGTCAGAAGGTCTTATGTCCCGCCCAAAACCCTGGCGACGTGCGCTTTGGATCAGAAGGGCCCCTTTGAAGAAGCAAGATCGCCGAGTGACATTCGAGGGGTCTCAAAGTTGCGTAGCACATTCTGAGCGCTCTTTACCTTTGCAGTTGCGGTTCGCCGAAATGAAAGGTCAAAGCCACGTCCTAGAAATGTTCAAGGCCGGGCGGAACTTTTCTCCAGTTTGTTCAAGGCGTAGAGTTCTTGATTCCTGTCCCGATTTGAAAGCTTGCGGTGTTCCGATCTCTTTCTGGCAAACGTGGCGCGCGGTTTCATATCAGGCCGATGGCTTCAATCAACAGGGTTGCATGGATTTGTAAAAAAAAATGTCTAGACCCCTTACTTCCCTCCCAGTTTCCGAAAAACTTTCCCAGATGTTCATTCGGTTTTGGGCTCTCGGGCTCAATGATCCATATCGATGTTTGGGCCATATGTGTTCGCTTCGGTCACGAAAAGCCTTTTTTGTCTGAGTCTCTGAGGAGGTCCAGTGGCTCTTCGACCACGGGGACTGGAGGAAACGACTTGGGTGCGTGCGCCCAAGGGTGCCCTGGGACGCCTCTTGGGCCTGGGAGGACCGGAGTGACGGAGTGCGGCATTCGCATGAAATGCTTTCATTTGCCTTTCCATGTTAATGGGAGAGAGGGCTCATAGCTCAAATGGTTGCTTTGGCGTGCTGGTCAGTTTGGATTTTTGGCTTGCAAGCGTTTTTTTTGGTATGGTTGTGGGATTGAGGGACGGCAAAGGTTGATGATGGGTAGGAGTTTGCATTGGTTGTATGAACCTCTGGCAACGAGCTTCTTTTTAGTGCCCTCAAATGGCGGCCACTTAGACAAGAAATGAAACGAGGCCACTTAACTGAGTGTCGGAGCCGTAAGTGGCTTCTTTTTGGCATTTCAATATGGCCTTTTTGGCCCTGGAGCTTGCATAGCAGGCAGTCAACGCGTGTCATTTGAGTGTGGCACGGACGCGAAGTGAGGTCACTTGGGTCACGAAGAGGCCACTTACGGCAGTGTCGACTAGCTCGTTCGAATATCGCCGCTTGCTCGTTATCAACTGTGCTCAGTGTACATAGGTTGGGCTCACCTGTACACCCCTCAAGGTAGTCAGGAGCCATCAGGAACCACTTGTTTCTAAGTGGCGCCTTTGTAGCCCAAGTGGCCCTAGTCTCCATTAAGTGACCTGTTGAAACTCAGCTAAGTGACCTTATTTTCAGAGTGGATCATGGCAACCCAAAATGAATTGAGGTCACTATAATAAGCTGGAATATCGGTGTATTGCTGCTTGGGCAGTTTGATTTTCATTTGTTGAGGTCACGCAAGATCCGCTTGTGTTTGCGTTTCACGACATACATATATTTTATATGTATATTTACATAGATATTATAGATATCGCGTACCCTTTCACCCACCGAAATTGCAATCAGGGAAGCCTCCTCCGCGTCCCATTGTCAGTCTCACATCCTCCGAACGCGCAGCAAAACACATGAGAGAGCCCCTGTCAAACTTTCAGTAGGAGCTTTGAACATCCGTCGTAGGGAGTTCCCATTGAGAGAGGCAGGGCACGTTGGAACTGGCAAGCGGGAGCGTCTTTGGGCATTGCCTTCCCAGGACAACGGCCGATCTTACGAGGTCTTGGACAGCTGCGGCGCAGTGCGCGTCGCCAAAGCCAATGAAGGGCTGGCCTTGACTGTGGAATTTGATGATGTGCCGGCCGCTTTGGTTGAAGCAGATCTTGGAATGCGGTTGGTACGTGTTGACGCAAACTGCCCCCGCATTCCTCATGCGTGGCCTCTTCGTTCAGGCCAAAACTTGAAAAACGTTGCCAAGCTCCCTCTCTCCATCGGTCATTGCTGATGACCTGGGGTTTGGCCCAAACAGTTGGGTGTCTGCATTGCCATCGCTTGCCACTGCGTTGCTTAGCTATTGCTTTATCCAGTGAAACAACCCGTCGGCCCAGCACTTCCGAGGAGCCGTCCCCACACACGAGCGATGCGCGCGACACGCCTGCGGCCGCAGCGGACGGAGCGACAGAAGTGGGGCCGTTGGCAGGCCAGTTGTGGGGAAACACACTGCCGCCGTGTTGGTTGCTTCGTTTCAAGTGGCCTTATGCATGCAGGGCCGCAATTGTTGCTCAGATCGCTCGAGTTGTTGCAAGCTGACTGACTTCCCACTGACCTCCTTTGGGTTGGGTGATGATTGACGGGCCCATTGACGGGGGGATCTACATCAAAGTTCCTTAAACGGTCACGCCCCGAAGCTTCAAGCTGCAGGTGACAGGGCAGGGTTCGAGGTTCTCAGCAAGTGGCAGCTCGAGGATCTGTGTAGCCTGTGTGCAGCACGTAAATGGTGAAGAAGTTGTGGCTTTAGTTGTGGCCAAGGCTTGTCGCCAGCATGTTTTTGGGCATTTTTTTTTGCAGTAACGAGGAGCCGAGGTGCGAGGCAACTACAATGATCTAACGAGGCATGGCCCGAGGTAAAAATGCTGAAGTAACTCAGTAGGGGGAGAACTGTGGCTGGCAACTGCAAGGGGCTTTCGACCACATGCGAGAACACTGCGAGGAAAGGAGTCGGCAAAGACCGCCCCAAAAAATCCAAACGCCAAGGCCATGACCTTAAAGCTTGTGTCCAAGCATTTGCTTGGCTCACTGCAGATGCAGACAAACTATTCTTTCAGCCTCGTCCCGACTTTTGGCAAAGAATGCCCGAAACATGCCGGGCTGACATTCCGGAGTGTTTCGGCAGTTTTTGCGTGCCCGAAAACAAATTGAAAATCCGGCAGCACCAAGAGCTGCAACCCGCAAAACACCACGAATTCACGCTGCCCGCGGCTGGTCAAGGGGCGATTCGGCGCTGGCCAAGGCCTGATTCAGCGCTGGACCCGCGCCAAGGGCAGATTAGGTTAAGCCAGCCACTCGCCTGACTGCCTGCGGTGGCGGTGGAGAACCAATTTCGGTCAAACTGGTCGCGACCCATCTCTCGCTCGGGCTGTAGTTTTTGTATGTTTTTGTTTTTGCCGTATGGCCCTTTGCCCAGCGCTGGCGGATCTCAGGGTCACGGCTAGCGCCATGTGTTAATGGCCGCGAGGTGCAATTTGGCTGGTCAAGGGCCGATCGGCTGGAAAAACTGGATTCAGTTGAATGGCTGCCCGCGGCCCGCGGCTGGCAAGTGGCTGGAGCAGCGGCTGGGGGCCACTTCGGTCAAACGCGGATGGCCAGGCAACGATTCGTTACACTGGTCTGCCCGTGGCTGGTTGCTTGGCCAACTGCTGTCCAGCGGCCCTTGGCCAGCCGCCCTGTGAGGCCCAGCTTCTCGAAGCCTAAAGCTGGTGCTGCTGATGCCGCGGGTAGCTTTGCCGCTGACATTTTTCCGCTTCAGTGGTCGTGTCCTGGACTCTTGCTGCCCCTTCATTCCTTCTGAGTGGTGGGCTACTTCGATTTTGGCAGCTTGTGGAACCCATGGCTTGACAGTCTCAGTCGTCTCTTTCACCCAGAACGCAATGTTGTACTGTGAGGAAGGTGTGCGGCCTGTTGAACAACAAAGCAATGAAAGACTGCGAGGGACATGAGAACAAGGATCAAATGCCTTGCAAGGATACAGAAAGACAGCGCCTGAAGCGGGCATCCCGGGCCCCCCTCTAGTGGTGTACTGCGGGGTCCGCTCCCGTCCCACTTTTCCCTTATTCCCCAGATAGCTGAAAGCACAAGGGATTCTAACTTCTAATTCAAGCGGGGAAAGCGATTTGCAAGATTGACGGCTGGGCGCTAGAGGGCGTGCAGTTGGGGGGCTGACGCAGATGCTGTTAGGGTGGGCTGTTTGGGGAGCTGTTTGCGGTGCTTGTGACGGTGCGACGGCATTCTTGCAAGATTTGATGGCAGGGTGAGCTTGTGAAGTTGTGGCGTGCTGTTTGGGGTGTTGTTTGACGTGCTGGTGACGGTGCGCTTGCATTTTTGCGAGATAGATGGCCGGGTGCTAGCGGGCGCGCGCAGGTAAGGCTGCGGGCGCAGTTTTGCAAGATTGATCGTAGGGTGGCATGGCGTGCAGTTTGGGGTGCTAGTGCAAGTGTTGTTTCGGGATTCTGTTTGGGGCTGTTTGAGGTTCTGGTGACGGTGCGGGCGCATGTTTATGAGATGGCAGTGCTGTTCGGGGCGACGGCGCGGGCATTTTGCGAGATTGACGATTGGGTGCTAGGGGGCATGCAGTTTGGGGTGCTGGCGCATGTTGGTCAACGAGGCGAACTTCACTGGCCACGGACCGATTCAGTTACACCGGTATCTTATTTGGTTTTGGTTATTAGCTGCGATCGCAGGGGTCATCCTAGGACCGTGCAATTTGGATTCAAGTATCAACTTCGAGAAGCGCACGGGCCAAAAGTCGTGACGGCTTTCGCAGGCCTGGTGCGGCGCAGCGGCGGATCAAACGCGCTGCGGCTGGACTCCCTGCAGGTCGGGCCGTGCGAACGCCATGGATCTTTATGCCTACGCAAATCCATGGCGGGCAGTTTTGCATTGCCGATTCGCTCTTTGCTTCTTGCAAGATTTACACTCGGCCATCCAGCGCTAGCGCTCATTCTAAAAACACTGGGCCTCTACAGTTGACTGCTTTGTCAAGAAGAAGGAAAAGTCAAATGGCTTGTCTTCCTGGGCCGTTTTGAAAACGTTGCCCGGCCACGAAGCATCGCAACTGGAGATTGCTAAATCCCAACATGGCTAGAGTTCAACATTATGCTCACCATGAACCTCATGAAAAGACATGTTTGCTAAAACGTGGCAGGCGTTGTACTGTCGACGCATAAAGAGCGAACCCTGCGGGAATTTCACCTAAAGCGCGCTCGCCACGGTGCTGTTTTCAAGAAAGTGTTTGCCGGATCCGCAACTGCTCAACCTGCATCAGCCATGTTTTGGTGTTCGAAGCAGATGCAGCCCTGATCTTCTAAGGAGAAACCATGCAAACACAGTATCAGCCGTAACTCGAAGTTTGATCTCAATTCCCCCTATCATGTTCTAAGCATGGTTTTCACCTTGAACATACTTAAGTTTTGTTTGGTGGCTTTGATGGATGTATCGACTGAAAGTGTGCGTGTTCTGGTCAAAAGTACTTGCCATTCTTTGGGAACCTAGCAGGTTCTGGGACCCTGTCCCGAGCCTCTTGTAAGAGCTTTGCCAGGGTAGGGGGGGCCCTGAAGACTCCGTTGGCCTGAGTTGAACATCTTTCAAGCAAGCTGGCCCCTCCGTTTTTCTTGCAAGTTCATCGAGCTGGGCGAGCCAGGAACACTTGGAACCTGTACCTCAGCTTGTACACAAGCCAGCCAACCTTTCCCACAGTTAACTGCTCAACTTTAGGCCACCTAAGGCAATTTCAAATCCTTAAAATTAATCTAGACATTTTTGGTGCCTCATTGCGGCGCAAAAGCAGCCTGCCCCCTGCAAGACAAATGTCCTTCAGTTCCCCAAATGACACCGCTTCATCCCTGGAAAGCCCCGGTCTTTGGCAAAGATTTTTCCGTGTCTCGTTTGGCAAACCGCGAGGCCACAGTACTGGCGGAGCTGATCCGCACAGAGCTCCAGAGGCGCGAGCTCGGGTTTTGGAGGCCCCCTGAGTGGAGCTGATCGCTGTCAACGGGCCCTTTCAAGTTCTGCGGGCTTGGGGAGGAGAGTATCCGGTTTGGAAGTTAAGGGCAAAAGCGGTCAGAGGTCCAGCTGTATTTGCCACCTTTGGGTGGCGTCAACCCTTGTGGTTGAGTTTCTCATGGGTTGTTTTTAAAGGGAGCATATTTGGAGACCCCACTGCTTTGCCCACATGTACATGACTTACCTTGTGCTTGCCGGCCTTTTGCAGCTTCTAGCAATGCTGGCCCCCACCGAGCTTTTTCCATGTAGAACTTGGGGAACGGCAAGTTAGTCAACCCAGGGAGTTGTTGGTCAAACAAATCAAAGGGCGGTTGTGTGGGGGCGGGGTCGGTGGGACAACAGTGAGCGCTTTGATGTCCGCTGTGCCTGCTTTTGAGATTAGACAAAGTTTCACTGTTTCCGAACGACACGTTTGTACCCCTCGAGCCTTTTGCAAGTGGATTGCTGCCCCACCCGCATCCCTCATTCAGAACGTCACTGCTCGCAGCATAGATGACTTCAAGGCCTTCTTTTCGCGCGCTACCCTTTTCTGCTTGCTATTAGGATAAGCCCATTTCGGGCCTTTTGCATTGAGAGTCTGGCGTCATGAGCTTTGCTGCGACTAACTTGAGAACTTCACTGTTGCAAAATGCTGAGACCCCTCCAAGAGAGTTACGCTCTTGGAAGACCGCGTGCCGCCTTTGGGCGGCAAAAGCAACTGGCTTGTGGTGAACGGCCGGAGGCTGTGGAGTGAGTCTGGCTGAGTAGCTTGGGGCATGCAGAAGCTCGCTCAGGTCGGTTTCCGTGGCAGAAACTTGGACGCACCCACGGCGCGTGCTTGTGTGTGTGTGTGGGTGTGTGTGTGTGTGGTGTGTGTGGTGTGTGTGTGTGGTGTGTGTGTGTGTGGTGTGTGTGTGTGTGTGTGTGTGTGTGTGTGTGTGTGTGTGTGTGGTGTGTGTGTGGTGTGTGTGTGTGTGTTGGTGTGTGTGTGTGGTGTGTGTGTGGTGTGGTGTGGTGGTGTGAGTGTGGTGTGTGTGTGTGTGGTGTGTGTGGTGTGTGTGTGTGTGTGTGTGGGTGTGTGTGGTGTGTGTGTGGTGTGTGTGTGTGTGTGTGTGGTGTGTGTGGTGTGTGTGTGGTGTGTGTGGTGTGTGTGGTGTGTGTGGTGTGTGTGTGTGGGTGTGTGTGGTGTGTGTGTGGTGTGTGTGGTGTGATGTGTGTGGTGTGTGAAGTGGTGTGTGTGTGTGGTGTGGTGTGTGTGTGGTGTGTGTGGTGGTGGTTGTGGTGTGGTGTGTGTGTGTGTGTAGGTGTGGTGTGTGTGTGTGGTGGGTGTGTGTGTGTGTGTGGTGTGTGTGTTGTGTGGTGGTGTGTGTGTGTGGTGTGTGGTGTGTGTGAGTGCGTGCGTGCGTGCGTGCGTGCTCGTGTGTGTGTGTGTGTGTGTGTGTGTGCTGTGTGTGTGTGTGTGTGTGTGTGTCGTGTGTGCGTGTGTGTGGAGTGTGTGCGTTGTGTTGTTGTGTGTTGTGTGGTGTGTGTTGTGTGTTGTGTGTTGTGTGTTGTGTGTTTGTGTGTTATTGTGTTGTGTGTTGCCGTGTTTGCGTGTTGACGTGTTGCGTGTTTGCGTGTTGCGTGTTGAGCGTGTTGTGTGTGTTTTTGCGTGTTGTGTTGTGTGTTGTGTGTCTTTGTGTGTTCTGTGTTGTTATGTGATTGTGTGTTTTGGTTGTTGATTGTGCTATGTTGTGTTTGTGTGTAGTTTGTTGTGTTTGTGTTTGTTTGTGTTGTGTGTAGTTTTGTGTGTCTGTGTTGTGTGTTGTGTGTTGTGTGTTGTGTGTTTTGTCTGTAGTTATGTGGTTAGTTTGTGTGTTGTGTGTTGTGTGTTGTGTGTTGTGTGTTGTTGTGTGTGTGTGTTCTGTGTTGTGTGTTTGTGTTGTGTGTTGTTGGTGTTGTGTGTTGTGTGTTGTGTGTTGTGTGTTGTGTGTTGTTGTGTTGTGTGTTGTGTGTTGGTGTGTTGTTGTGTGTTGTGTGTGTGTGTGTTGTGTGTTGTTGTGTGGTGTGTTGTGGTGTGTGTGTGTTGGTGGTGTGGTGTGTGGTGTGTTGTGGTGTGTGTGGTTGTGTGTGGTGGTGTGGTGTGGTGTGGTGTGGTGTGGTGTGGTGTGTGTGTGTGTGTGTGGTGTGTGTGGTGTGTGTGTGTGTGTGTGTGTGTGTGTGTGTGTGTGTGTGGTGTGTGTGTGTGTGTGTGTGTGTGTGTGTGTGTGTGTGTGTGTGTGTGTGTGTGTGTGTGTGTGTGTGTGTGTGTGTGTGTGTGTGTGTGTGTTTGTGTGTGTTTGTGTGTGTTTGTGTGTGTTTGTGTGTGTTTGTGTGTGTTTGTGTGTGTTTGTGTGTGTTTGTGTGTTTGTGGGTGTGTTTGTGGGTGTGTTTGTGTGTGTGTTTGTGGGTGTGTTTGTGTGTGTGTTTGTGTGTGTGTTTGTGTGTGTGTTTGTGTGTGTTTGTGTGTGTTTGTGTGTGTGTGTGTGCGTGCGTGCGTGCGTGTGTGCGTGTGTGTGTGTGTGGGTGTGGTGTGTGTGGTGTGTGTGTGTGTGTGGTGTGTGTGGTGGGTGTGGTGGGTGTGGTGTGTGTTTGTGTGTGTGCGTGCGTGCGTGCGTGTGGGTGTGGGTGTGGGTGTGGGTGTGGGTGTGGGTGTGGTGTGTGTGGTGTGTGTGTGTGTGTGTGGTGTGTGTGTGTGTGTGGTGTGTGTGGTGTGTGTGGTGTGTGTGTGTGTGGTGTGTGTGGTGTGTGTGGTGTGTGTGTGTGTGTGGTGTGTGTGTGTGTGGGTGCGTGCGTGCGTGCGTGCGTGCGTGCGTGTGTGTGTGTGCCAAGATGAGGAACTCCTTTCAGGGCCGGATGTGTGGCTTCTGGGCCAAAAAGAACACCCCTGAAGTTCAGGGCCGGCTGTGTGGCTTCTGAGCCAAAAAGAACACCCCTGAAGTTCAGACCCACCAGTTTGAAGCGTTCGCAAAGCAAACTTTGCAAACTCTGAACCAAACTCGGAGTGCCGGATGAAGGTCGAATTGGGCTCACGTATGCTCATGTTGTTTTTCGTGATCCTCGAGGTGTATACTGCGGAAGATGTTCGTTTGGACTCTGCCTGGCTCTCCTTCCTAACTCTGTGTTTCTTGGAGGGCGAGGACCAAACATACTTGGCCACCCAAACTCAAAAGATTTCAGAAGGTAGGCCACAGCATACGAGCAGTTGCTATCCTGAAGGGTCTTGCCTTACTCCTCTCAGGACGTGCTGCGGAGTGACAGCGTGGAGGACCTTTCGGCCAAGCTTGGCGAGGCGGAGCTGCCAGAACTTGGGCCCGAGCTGCCGGAGCCACGGGGCCGGCGCTGCATCGTGTAGGGGGGAGTCGGGAGGGGGCCAAGGCGAGGCCTGGTGATTGCGTGGCCAACACGTAAAGCATGTCACGAGGCAAATGAAACTTCCATAGCCCTAAAGGCCCTCGGAAAAACCACAGGCAGTACATCTTGGGTTCAACCTCACGCACTTGCTCAAACTACAATCACTTGGCTCTCCATTTCTCCTTGCCTTCTCACCAAACATCAACCCGTCGATAAACCCCAACAGCGATAGGACCAACCCTTATTTTTTGCCTCGAAGTAAATATCACGCATTGACTGGTTGGAAAGAGGATCCAGCAAAGGGCAGGGCGGCAAGTCCAAATTTGGTTGTGTCGCACCAAAGCCGAGAACATAAGACAATTTCGACGAGATGTACGACTTCATCTTCTTGCCAAACTTACCCGAAGCGCAACCTCTATACACCTTGATACGGACTCCACTGGGACACCGAATCAGGAACACAAGCGGGACACTACCGCATGCTGTTTGCACCCAAGGACTCCACACCCTCCTCGGACTTTGACCCCGCAATTCTGAGTGTGAGGACGAAAGCGGAGCCTACCGGGTCTTCATGCTGCGGTTCCCGCAGCATCCGGTGGACTGGTGTTTGCGCGCTGTGGCTTCAATTCCTTGAGACGTGTTTTTTTTGGATTTTGCATGGTTGGCGTTATTCGTGTATTACTTATTTCAGGGTGCAAGTCAGAATGCAGTCTTTGGCGCTCGCACAAATCAGGTGCCCGCAAAAACATGTTCCGGGGTGTTTTGTGTTTTCGTGTTCTGTTTATGCTGCGCATGCCCCGTGCATGAAAGAGGTTTGGATGAGGTTCAGACGGGATCAAGGCCAGGAGGCGCATAGCAATCTCAAAGAGGCCAATTGGACAACTGGCAAGTACATTCGGCCTACGGGGCACAGGACACTGACCATGTATCAACTGTGTTGCATGTGTTGTATTGTTTTGACCGTTTGTAGTCTAGTTAGCGGTTGGCAGTTGTGTTTTTCCAGGGGAGATGCATGCCCAATGTTCAGACTGCGAAAGCAGGCCGAACAGGCGCACGAGCCCCTGATGCAAACAGGACACTTGTTCCTGAGAGAAGCATCCAAAATGTCCAAATTCGCGACGGGTCCCTTGTGAAAGGGAAACGCGATACCAGCCCTTGTTGCAGAGATACACATCGGTCCAGCTCAAACGAACCGATCTATCAAGTTCAAATGCCGCCGTGACGGGGATGGCCACAGATTGGGCGCCCTTAGCCGTTGGAGTCATAGCTGTGTGAGCAGCGAGCAGAGGGGAAGGGTGCCCTTTGCAAAGTGCACACCTGACGCAGGTTTCGTCTTTTCAAAGTCTGCCTCAAGCGCAGCACCCCATCCTGTCATTTCAGAGCTGAACAGCTGAAATCTGTTCTTTGCCTTCAACTCTATTTACTTTGTGTCTCACCGCATTTCTCGGCTTAGGCTCCCCGGAGCCCTTGGACCCCGCGGCGCTGCAGCGGGCCGTAGATCGTCTCGTTGCGAGGCGGGCGGCTTATCGGTTTCTAGGACTGTAGGCATAGACCACTTACAGATGATATATATATATACATTCGTTTTCGGCTTGTAGCATATTCTGGTAAAACGCGTTTCCAACAGAGGGTCCATGTCGGCTACGGGGCTCGTTGGGTTCTCCACGCAATGTAGTCCGCATTCAGAACCGGGGGGGCCTGGTTCGCAGATTTCCTCCGGGGCGCAATCTTCGTGCGATCACCTCCCTGCAAACAGCCCTGATTGTGGTTCGGCTTTCAGCGCACACGGCAGTTCTTCAATGTGTTCTTTGGGGCTGAATGCCTGTTGGTAGGCACTCCGCCCTACAAACCCGGGAGACGCCCGACGAGCCCTTGCGGGAAACCATGGACAAGGCGCGGCCACACTTGCAACGCCGCAGACGTAACGTTTAGAACTTGTGTGGCGCTGCGGGAAGGGAATGTGGGCTGCCGGCAATGAGTTCTCAACAAGTTGTGATGTCCAATGGCGAAGTGCTCATTTCCTTCTATTGACACACAGCAGCAACAGGGCAAATCAAGTCAGGGACTACGATTTGGACAGTGGTTGCTTGCCTCGGCTCTTCTGTGTTTATTGTGTGTATCTGATTGCGTGTGTAGCTTGTTCTTGCTGCGCACCCATTGTGTCTCTGTTAGTCTGTCTTGGTACGTTACTTTCTTTTTGACTTTTGAGGCGTTCCTGTTTCTGACGTGATTCTTTCCTGCTGCATGTCGCTTCTCGAGATGTTCCTTCTGTTTTCTTGTGATTGATTCCGCTTTTGCATTGATTGTTGTTTCCTTCCTTCCTCCTTCCCTCCTTCGTCCCTTCTCAGTCACGCAGATCCGGTTCTTTCTTTAGCTTTTGTTTGTAATTCGACTATTGACTATTGTTTCTTCAGCTTCGTGCCTCCTCTTTCTTTCCGAATCCTCTTGCGCCTGAACCTTGCCAGATACAGGCAGGATAGCGGGTGTTGCGGCCTTTTGCAGTGCCAGTGCTGGTTCATCCATCCTATATGGCGTGTCCTCACCAGCATGTTCGAGTTTGTCCGGACCAAACGGGTGCATTTGTGCGCTCTTTTGCGTGCTTCAGTTGACAGCCTTTGCACTTGGAAGGCAGCGGCACTTTGGCAGCTGTGGTGCAGCTTCTTTGGCGAGGGGCCCTTTTGGAGGCAGGTAAGAGAAAATTCACAAAGTGTTTCCCTGCTTGGAGTCATTGAGTGTTTGGTTCTCTTCGTTTTTAGCCCACAGATAGGAAGCAGGCTTTTGCGGAAGCTGAGTTGGCAACACGCAAAAGTTATTATGTAGCGAGCATCATGGTATTGAAGCACCAGTTGAAGGTCAGACGCTCCTTCTTTTGGGCAGACGCCGGTAGGTTGGGAAGTTGATTCTCGCCAACTGATGCGCTCGGACATGTTGGAAATAAGAAAAGGCGCGAGTTGTTTCGATGGCGGCCTTGAGCCAGCAACTGTCTACAGCCAGAAGGGGCCCCTTTTCGATCAGCTTGATGCATTTTCACAGGCAGAAGGACAAGCGTTGAGTTCAAGCAGAAGCTGACTTAAGGGAACAGAAGGTGCCAGCGAATGGTTGGTTCAGGTGGATCGCGTTCCAGGATGAATTAACCCCTTGGGATTGCCAATTCTAGTTCAGATGCCCGGATGCCGGGATTTGGATAGACCTAAGGCGTGTCAATCAGCAGGGATTGGCCTCGGCCAGCAACCTCTGATGGTTGTCCAAAGTAAGCCTTGGTGGCCCTTGACACCTTGAAATTGCGAAGCATATATAGAGGCCCAAAGAGGACATGTCAAGCCTTGTCACTTAGCGGATTCTGCTGACCGATGACCGTTTCCACTGCGAGAGGCACCTCTCGGAGCTTGGTGGGCGAGCGCTCTTTGCCTTGTGGCCCCGCACGGTGTTTGCGCAGGACCCCCGCGTGGAGGCATCCGATCCATTTCGAACTCGAAGGAGTAGAATTTTCGGTTTCAATCAAAGCTTTTCGCAATTGCCGTTGGTCAACCACCGAAATCAGGCAAGAGTTTTCTGGACAGCTTGCAATGAAGTGTTATCAGGGCCCGCACGAATGGCTCTCTAGCAAAGGGGATGCAAAGGGGAATGATTGATCAAAGCAACGCATTTTTGCCCTGAAACGTACTGTATGTCGCCGCGTTTGGCCGCGCGTTCCAAAGGTCCGGGTACCGCCGCTGGAGCACGGTCGCGTGCGAGACCCTCGCTGGGATTGGGCAAGCCACGACCAGCCCTTTGGACAGCATCGGGGAATCGGATGTGAGGGAGGACGTGCAACAAAAGCAGCCAAGTGCTTTCCCTGGTTGACACTCCTATCCACTGCATGTCTAGGTCGCTTGGGCAAACAGGCAGCTGCTGGGAGAGCACACCAGTCGAGCCCTATCAGGAAATCAGCCGGATGCCAACCAACCATCAAGAAAAAGCCTGGTCAAGCAAGATGTTTTTTTGGGTAGCATAGAGGCGTTGTGCGTTGACGTGTTGGTCATCCTGACTTATCCAATCTTATCCATCCATCTATCTATTTGTTATCTATGCTCCCACGTGTCTGTCCATGAATTTGTCAGGCCCTGTGCCCTGTGCACTCAATGATTCATGCCGTGTTCGTATCGCATCATCTTGCATCTTGGCAAACATATCACACTGTCATGCCATGCCATACTGCGCCATGTTTGCCGCGCACGTCGCGCCTACAGCCTGGCGCATTGCGCTATGTCCACACGGATGGACTCTGATGATTTGCTTTGCGCAACATCATTCGCTCAAACCTTCACAACCTGAAAAGGCGTCGACTGCCTCGAACAGGATGCTTAAGATTGGCCTGTTGGCTTAGCCAAACAGGATAAGATACGATAGTACGATAGGATAGAAAACAAAGTAGATATGTAATAGAATCGTCATGATAGATGAAATAGATGGGAGAGATATGATAGATGAGATAGATAAAATCGGGAAGATGTAACGTAGATAAGATCGATGGGATAGATAGATGGATAGGATAAACAGGATAAATAGGATGACACAATAGATAGACAGATAGCTATGTAGGCAGGTAGATAGACAAGCACTTGGATAGATAGATAGATAAAGAGAGACAGACGGACGGACGGACAGACAGGCAGACAGACAGACAGACAAATAGATAGATAGACAGATAGATAGATAGATAGATAGATAAAAGCAAAATACATAGATGGGTAGATAGATAGATATAGACTAGATAGATAGAAAGAAAGATAGATAGAGAGAGACAGAGTGAGAGAGAGAGAGATATACATGGATCGATGAATAGATAGAAAGACCGGTAATTGAATTAGCAAGCCAGTCTGGCCGGACGGCCGCTAACGAATTGCAGCCCGAATCCCGCGCGCAGTCGACATTTCGAGCTAGCTACAATTCCGCGAACTGCTAGAGATTGCGACGCGGGTTTTGCTCTACAGGAGAAGCGTCATGGGAGGGCCCCGCGTGAGCAAAACCCTGCGCGGCGTAAGGGGACAAATGCTGCGAAAGCATCCATGTAAGCTCTGCGTCGTGACTGCTTGCAAAAGTTCCAAAAGACAAGGGTTACCGCCCAGCAGGCGCAGCAAGCTTGAGGGGTCCGGCGCGTAGCCGGCGTCAGCAAGCGCGTAAGGTTTGCATCAGCTCGCTTAGCACTCCTGCCCGCTCGCCCATGCCACGATGCCAGTGAGGCAACATGAACTCCGGAAAGTTGTAAGTCAAATCCAAAGCGCTGAGCAAGAGGGCTACAAGCGAAGACCCCGAAAAGAACAACAGAGCCAAACTGGCCCGCCTGACAGCAATTCCTCATCAACTTCCTATTCAGAGCCATCCATATCAACCTGAACAGTGGCGGCTGCATGCAAAAAGGAGACCGTGTAACCAGTTCTTGAGGAGGAGTGCTAAAAACGCCGACGCGTAAGCACAAGCTAAAACATGGGTCGCGCGTACGCAGCCTTTCCATGCTGCTCGCGTAACGCTTTGCGATTGGCAGAGCATGCTAAAGAGGTGTTGTGCAGACCCACACTTGGAGTGAGCTGCACATGCAAGGACATGGAGGCGAGCGCGGTAACTGCACGCAGATGTCATTATGCGCAAGAGTAGGACAAGTGTGAAGACGGGCGAGTGTGATAGCATGCAGGCCAAATAGCTTGACACTGATTTGGCACACAAGTACGCTGATGCTATTCAAGTGTGAGGGCATGCAGGTGTGGCGATGCGAAAGGCTGGCGAACCTACGTGATGTCGGGCACACAACGCGACACTGCAACGAAACTCAGGTGTCAGATGACACGCATGTAACGGCATGAACATGCAATGTTGACATTCGACTGGACACACACGCAAAGACACTCCACAGCTTGATCCGCAAAGCACAGGACTTGGAAGCAAGCACGCGTTGAAACACACGCGGCGCACGGCCGAAACTGGCGTCGGCGACGTTTTTTTACTGAAACAGTGTTGGGCGCCTGCCTGCGCTGAAAGATAAGAAACATTCATGGCATAAACTTGGTCAACAATCCCATCTGAAATTTGAAAAGCTTTGTAATTATCTTGAAATATCGGCTTCGGCTTGGCAGCGCCTTGGTCCACGCGGCTTCTTCGGCAGCACGGGCCAGTTTTGGAGTAAGGGTCGCTACCCCCACACTTTTCCCTTGCCCCGTGCGATTCCCACTAGCCTTCCCCCCTTGCAAGTCAGATGTCTCAGATGACGTTCGTTTTCAGGTATGTCCACTCCGTTTTCTATGACGTGCTTCGCCCGCGCTGGTGGCCATTTGACATTGCCCTGATACCCCTTTTCTACGGCGAGGCAGGAATCTTGCCAGAGTGCACATGTGCTGCTCCGTGTTTTCTCAGCCTGACATGTCCATGCGAACATGCCAACTTCAGCCTCAGACTCGCAGTGGCGGCCGCGCGCGTGGGCGCCCGCACGCACACGCGCGCGGGCACGGGCACGCGCACACACTCCTACCCACCCACCCACCCACCCACCCACCCCCCCGCACACACACACACAGACACACACAGACACACACACACACACACACACACACACACACACACACACACACACACACACACACACACACACACACACGCGCGCGCGCGCGCGAACACACGCACGCACGCACGCACGCACGCACGCGCCACGCACGCACGCACGCACGCACGCACGCGCACGCGCGCGCACCACCCACACACACACACACACACAAAAACACACACACACACACACACACACACACACACACACACACACACACACACACACACACACACACACACACACACACACACACACACACACACACACACACACACACACACACACACACCCACACACACACACACCCACACACCCGGGCACGCGCGCGCACGCACGCACGCCCGCACACACGCCCGCACGCACGCACGCACGCACGCACGCGCACACACACACACACAGAAGAAAAAAAAAAACATTAAAAAAAAAAACATGCATGTTTGCTCATGCATGCACAGTCATTCCCCAGATTCCCGTCCCACGGTTTATATTTAGGGCCTGATCGCCCCAGTTCTTCCGCGTGGACCTAATCGGTCCGAACAACAGTGTGACACTTAGGCCGGCTTTTTGCTTTTGCGCCTCCTGTTGTTTGGGCCACTGCTTCGCAAAAAGGCAGGCGTGAAGAAGCCTGACATAGGTCAAAGGTGCCAGTTTCACGGATTTGGCCACTTAAATTCGGAGCTCCCCACAGCCAGCAGCGCCAGACACTTTTGAGCCCTTGCAAATCCATCAGGTCACTGGCCACACGGACGCGGTCCAAGCAGCTCTGTCGCCGCTTGCCAACAGCGAAGGGTGCCTCCTTCAATCTTCCTCATGACTTGTTGGCCCCTGGGCTCCCTCTATCAAAGCACGGGGGCTCAGCATCCCGCGCGTTGTCAGTGGCTGCTTGTTGCCCAAGCCTGATATTCTGGCGGCCTTCGTGCCCTGGAATTTGTTTGTGTTTTGCGTATTCTGACCCAACAGAAACATCCTCCAATGGCTGATGTCACGTTTGTGTGTTCATGTGGTTGTTTAATTGTTTCCCCAACCCGTTGTTCCAAGTGTTTGCTCCGGTCAGTTGAGGCACGAGGTCTTACCGGCGCATTGCCCGCGGAGCGCGCTGACTTTCTGGGCTTGGAATGGATGTTGGATTTGGCTCTGGGGTTGGAGCTTTGGGGAATTAGCAATGTTTCCCTTTGATCCTGTGACCTTTGCACCAATGGCACGTTGCGTGGGCGCCTGCGCAACCGAAGCTTGTTGAACCTGTATGACCGTTTCTTTTGGGGTGGCGTTGCGCAACCTGGCATTTGAAAACAGGTGCAGCGTTCAACGAAGTAAAGCAACTTCCCAAGAAGCAATGCTCTTGCCAAAGGCGTCCAAGCTAGTTATGCTCAGTTGTTTTGACTATTGCGCATGCTCGGCACACTGTTTTCCAGATTAAGTGAACCGCTTGCCTGCCCCACAGAGGCTGCCGCAAGAAGACGTGAGCTGGTACATCTACTGCAGCATCACCCACGCCTACTCTGATGGCCTCTCTGGCCAGGCAAGGGCTTGACTGATACTCGGGTGCCTCACGCATGGGGTTCTTTCTGTCTGAAGTTCAAGACGTTTGGAGTGGCTCCAACCTGCGTTCACCCTGTGGCCATACCTGATTCAACGCGAGACGTTCTTTAGAGGCCATTTAGAGGCTAAACATTTGTGTTTTCACAAGTGTTTTGTTCGGCTTATCTCCAGATGCAAACGCGTGCCACCACTCAAGCTTGGTTGGAAGCCCCTGCTGTAGCCGCAAAAAGCTGGCCACGGGTTGCTGTGGCGTGCGCATGGCGTCCACTGCGCTTGGGCATTGCCGCCGTGGCGCAAGACAGCTGAGGGGGCTCAATTGCACGCCTTTGCCTTAAACACTCCTGCGAAACCTGGCTGCGATTCCTTTGCTAGTTTGCTTGACATTGCTCACATTTGATCGACCATGAATGGAGCTCAGAGCCCGTGTTGAAGAGGTCCCATTTGGTTGCCATCACAGCCACTCAGTACTAGTACAACCTAAGGTGACCTGTGTTGCCTTTTTGTCCTGGATGCAGGAAGAAGCTAGTAAAGGAATGACCTTCTCTGCTGTTGCTTTGATGCTCCTATTTGCCTTCTTGAGCTTCCGTAACTCTGCTGGGTAACGCTGATTAAGAATAACCGCATTCAAAGCCAGCTGGGTTAGTTGCTTGAATGTGCCCTTCGTGGCACTTTCAGCTCGATCGCTGCGGGATGGGCACTACACAACAGCCCTGATCCCTCCCGATGAGGCGGAGTTACAACCAATACCTCTCGTTTGCTCACGGTTTCAATCTGTTCAAATTTGTGTGGTGGCATTGCCGCCACAAATCATTATGAGCTATGGACCATTCTGGCTAGCCTGACTGGGCTGGTTTGCGCATCATCGCTCGCAGGCCCTATTCGCAGACCTTTTGCGCTTCTATGCAGAGGAGCTGGGGCAGGACTAGCCTTTGTCCGCGTTGTGTTTGCAGCGCTAGGCCGTGTTCTTCAGGGAGATTTAGTGAAGATTGGTGAAGATTGATAGCGATTGGTTCTCTTGTTTTCGGGGAAAGGGTGCGTGGGGTTTGCTTGGTGAGCTCCATGAGCTGATGGTTCCTGTATCCTTGCGTAGCCTCTGCTGAGTGGAAAGCTGGCGTCGTGTTCTGAAGTTTGGGTTTCTATCAGTTGCGAAACTCTGCACAATGCTGTATGTTTATGTGTGTTTGCGTGTGTACAAAGGGCCCGTAGCGATTGGTGCTTATTCGTTTTTATATGTTGGCGCAGTGGTCCCGTTCTCTTGATGAGTCGACCCCCGCAAAGCTCGCGTCGAGGCCGAGCGGCGTCCTTCTACCGCACCCCCAGAGCAGCTGGCTTTGCTACAGCGGCGGCTGCGGCGCTCGCTCAGGAAGCACGAGTGCAATGAGCCCAATGAGGACCTGTAGGGCCCTGACGTCATGCTGAAGATAATATTTGCAAAAGTCAGCTCCGATTGCGAGGAAATCCGTGTTCCTTCCATTCCTTCTGCGTTCCTTCCTCCTTGAGTGCTAAGCAGCCCGTAATTGCACAAGAGGGTGGATATTATTCAAGTGTTTGCCCGTTGGGCTTTCTTGTTGGGGCCATGGGTCCACGGCCGGGAAGACAGAGAGCATCGTGCAAGCCTTGGGAAAAGGTCCACAACGAAGGGGTTGGAGTGTCCACGCAGCTGACTCTGGTTGCTGAAAGAGTCCATTGCAAGAATTGAAGCGTCTGTGATTTTGTGCATCTCTTTCCCCTTTGGAATGTGGGTGTTCGAATGAGCTCGCCCTCCAGCCCTGCGTTTGGCAAAGACTGTTGAAGTCGGCATGTGCGAAATGGCGAAATAATTTGGGTGGAAGAGGAGGGGCTCAGGAATTGTTGTGGTGCTGCTTTCCAGTCTTGATTGCATCAAGTCTTGGCGTATTTTGGCGTGCAGGACTTGTACCATGAGTCCATATGCGACGACTGGGGCAAGAGGGAGGGCTGGCAACCTGTCAGCGATTGTCTTCGTAGCCCAGTTGTTGAGGCAAGGGGCGTGACGAATCTTGTCACCATTTGCAACCTCCCCGTGCCCAAGAAAAGTATAAACAGCTGATGGCATAGAGAAAAGGCGGGACACTGATTGGGACCTAAGGAGTCTTACAGAAGTGGAATCCTTCAATTAATGCATTGTCCATGCACTTGGAGCAACTACCCTTCATTCCTGCATTTGTTAGATAATATTGTTCTTGAATTGAAAGAAGACTCTAAGACAAGGTCAAGGCGAATATACTTCCACCCGAACGTGGCCCAGACGCTACGCTTTGCTGCTGGGGAGATGTGCCTCGGCCTGCTTAGCGTTCCACATTCACAAAAGTTTGCTCGCATCCGCAAGCCTCCCTGGTATATGGCTCGGCAATGGCCACGCGTGTTGCTGGCTTCGATGTGCGCTTGGATGGCTGCCACTTACATTTGCCATCATGTGCCCTTTCTGGCTCTCAAAGCTTTTAGCGCGATATGAGTGGATGACACAGTTTCCTGCCAGAATGCTGACAGAGTCTTGGATGCGTTTGACCTTGTCTCGCAACGTTTGTGTAGCGGTGTAGTATGTTATTGTGTCGTGTGTTCGCATGTGCCCTTGCAAGTGTGGTTGTTTGTTTGCGTGATTGCTTGCTTGCTACGGTTGTCTTGTTTGTTTCTTTAATTGTTTTGTTTGTTTTCTTGTTGTGCTGCTCGTTCTTTGTTGTGTTGTGTTGCCTTGCCTTGCAGTGCGGTGTGTGTTGTGGTGTGGGCGGTTGGTTGTTCACGCACCTTGATTTCCCACTGCGCGATTGTTTTTTCTTTGTTGCCCGGCTTAGTGGAGAGGTTTGCCTTGTCGTCCTTCCGGATGACCATACTTGCCGTTTGACCAGCAAAATCCAGCAAAGACTTGGAATGAGCACATGGAGCCTCAGTTCACATTCCAGCAAGGGATACGTTTTGCTTAACAGCGGAAGGGCGCCCCTACTTCAACATGGGGATGCTCCCAGATCGACATGAGTGAGCACATGTTATTTGCATTTACTGCGCACCCCCGCCCGCCAGAAAGCTTCTGAAAGCTAAGAACTTCTGTTTCAAGAAGTCTTCTTGGACCTACCCCCTAAATCTGTTCGCCTGAAGCCCGAGAGGCACTGCAGCGTGGACCTCGCCTGGCTCAGCGCTGTGATGTGCTCCATGCTCCACGCTGGGATTGGATCCGTTTTGACCGGACAGGGCGGAACACAAAGGATGGAAGGCTTTTCACAAGGAACCCAACAAGGCACCCGAAAAGAACGATCCTCTCAAATTGATGGCTTTTCGGCCATGTTAATCTGCCAGGGGTGCACGAAGTGCCTCTTGTAACGTGGCTTGCCCGCGCCTGAAGAGGGCTTCAACAGCCGTTAGGGAAGGTTTGAGCCCGAAAGCATGTTGCCGACATGCCCCCGATCGCTCATAAAAATGAAGAGTGTTCCACATAATGAGCTAAAGAATCTGCAGACTAGGCTCAATGCAAGTGCAGCTTTGCAAATAGACTGCGCAGTGTCGCGCTGCAAAATGCAAGCTGCTGCAGGCAAGTTGCTCTGCGCACACACACATAAGCGCCTTGAGCCAAACTGGCTTTGTACTTTCTTTTCCCACCCGCCCACCCAAATCAACGGCGAGGCGTCCAGGACCTGTTGTTTTAGGAGGCTCTGCTGGAGCTGGGTAGGCGTCAGTTGGCAGTGCTGGTGTCAGAGGCCATGACAGCAGTGTCCCCTTGCTCTTGGAGCAACCCGAGGTATTATCCCTCAACAATCAGAGCAGCGAGCACGCCGCGTGAAAATGGAGCGTGGTGAGTTGCGAAGTGCTTCTACATTGATATTTTAGGCTTTAAGGTGTAGAGGCGGGGTTGTGCTGGTTAGGTGCTGGTGGTGTGCTCAGTGCTGACGCTGCACGCACGGCAGTCCGTGCAGTAACCCGCGCAAGACGAAGTGTCAGAAACATGGGAAGAACAACAGGAATGTAATAAGAGTGGGGGCATGGCGATCCGGAGGTCGTGCGAAGTTTCGGGATTCGGGATTTAATCACATTGTGATTGAATCGCATTTTCGGGATTCGGGATTGAATCGCATTTTCGGGGTTCGTAATTTGTGATTTAACCACGTCTTCAGAATCAAATCGCATTTCGGGATTCGGGGGCGGATTCCGGTCTGGCTTCGGGATTCGGAACTGGGAAGCCCAACAATTCTCGGATTCGGAATTCGGGATTCGGGACTTGGGATTCGGGACTGGGAAGACCCCAGCCTCTGGTCCGGCTTCGGGATTCGGAATGGGGGGGACTGAGAAGGCCCATCCTCGGATTCGAGATGTGGGATTCGGGATCGTGACTGGGAAGGCCCCAGCCAATCCCAGCCTTTGGTCCGGCTTCAGGGTTCGTGATTTGTGATTTAATCACATTCCGAATTCGGGGGTCAAATTCTGGTACGGATTCGGGATTTGGAGCTTGGGATTTAAATCCCCTTCCTCGGATTCGGGATTCGGGGCTTGGGATTCGGGATTCGGAACTGAAGGGTCCCCCTTCCTCGGAATCGGGATTTGGGACTCTGGTCCGGCTTGACTGGGAAGGCCACTTCCTCGGATTCAGGATTCGGGATTCCGCGCGAATCACATTCTCCACCAGC